TCCCTTTTCCATTTTATTTGTTTTAACGTTGTCCTTGGTCTAGTCACTTTTTGAGAGGTCTGGGGATACAAAACATGCCCTCATTTAGAAGAGTATCTTCTTCTCGATCGCACCACACTTGAAGTTTGGTATCTGTCGTGGTTTGGTCGTCCTGTTCAGTTCATCTGTCAGCCTGTAAAGCTTCTCCTGTAGTGTCAGTGGGTAGAAGAGTATAAATGTCACTAGAAAATTCTTTAATAAAATGAACTGGCGCAGATTAAAAGATAAACATCAGTTTTACCTCAAGAATCTGATTTTATTATGATGAGAATTCTCTTTCCCCCTACATTACCGTTTACGTACTCTCTGTCTTAATGATAATCATGTTCCACTTTTTAGAATATGGGGATGTGGGGTTTGTGGCTGTAGCTTTGGTCGTTGAGTATCTTCATTTGGCTGTACTAGTGTCACCACTGAAAGGTTAACACCGAGTGCACACTAGCCATTGGATTCAATCGAATTGAGTTGGGGCCAGATTGTCCTTCATTGAGAGGCAAAAGTTTCTATTTTGGCACAATACCACAGATTTGATTGGGGACTATGGGATAATTTGAATGTGTGTAAGCTGCAGCTTGCACTGTATGCTTCCTGGGAAGTCGAGAATGTTTTTGACTGTTCAAGGGTCTTTTGGGGGTAATATTAATTGTAAAGCGCATAGAGCAGGCTACAGGTAGGATCGTAGGGCGTTAATATAATGCACTATATAAATGTAATTATATTTATTTTCACTATGTAAGCACCACATGGCTTGTGCTTGCTGAAGGTGGTTGGGAGGCGGTCTGGTGTTGCTTGCTCCGTCTGTTTTTCTGCCAGTGTGGTTACAGGAGTGCACTCTTTGTTCTTAGTCGGCTTTCTCAGAACCTTTTCTGATACTTTAATGGGGGGATCTAAATTAGGCTACAATGTTTATAAACAAGAAAAAATTTTCAGATAGTAAAGACTTTCGTTTTCAGGGACTTATGCTTTAATATAAACGCTCAGTCTTTAAAGAGGGATAGATACTGGTCTTGAAAATGAATTACTGCTGACCAATCAAAAACAAATATATATACTACCAACTGTTTGAATTCTTCTCAGCAATGGTCTTTCTAAGTACCTTTAAAACATTTTGTCAGTATTGTGAGAAAGAAGAAAAGCATCATGTCTTTTAAAGGAATAAATCTTCGTATTTATGAGAGTAAAATCTGACTTCCATTTCATTCTCCCCTTTTGAATTTTTGTTTAAATTTAAAGAGCTGCGCACACTGGTTGGGTCGATGTCACTGTTATAATAACATTTGTCACCACTGTTATAATATTTGCTACTGTGCTTGTGTCTTTGGCCCGGTGCATGTTGTGACAGCTTTTGTTGGTGTACCCAAAATCTGATATTTAGCACACACGGCATTGGTAAAGGCTCCTCCCCCCCAACTATTGATGACCTTTACATCCCTGATGCCAAGCTCAGCTGGCCCACCTATCAATTTGTGCTTCAAGCTGTCTCTAGTTTAAATACTCTTTGCTTAAATGTGATAAAATGTTTTTCAAAAAGATTGGAAATGTTGTAAGTGACCCCATTATTATTGTTATTATTCATATGTCATGATCTTCTAATCATTCAGAAGGACAAAAAAAAAACCAAAACAACTTTTAAATGTTAGAGTATACAAATCACTTACAAAGCCTTATTCCATCTTTCAAAATCATGACCTGGTGTATTAAATTCTACTTGTTTTGTGCAAATTTGGAAGAGCACAGGATTGTTACTATTAATTTTCCAGCCATAGAAAGTCTGTTGTCCAAATCTGAGTTTCTTTTTTTTTCTTTTTTTTTTGCCTGTCGGCTCAATAATTAGAATTCATTCTTTTATTTGTTTACCTTTTATCTGTACTCACTTCATTTCTTCGTGATTATCTTATGTTGTAAAAAGAATATAAAAAGTAGTTCTTTTGTTCTTGGTATGAAAGTTAAAAGTTTCCTAAGATGTCAAATTAACGATTCAGTACCCTAGGTATCAACTTGTCACTCCGAAACTGAAACAATGATTCTTGTTGCAGGTCTTACAGACTTTCAAGCCAGTGTTTCCAATTTTTGCCTACTACTAAATGTGCATTACTGAATTTTTAAAAATTAGTTTGTTGTCACAATTCTTCTACTCTGTGTAAGATTTTAAAAATTAAATAGTATTCTCGATCCTTGCTGTTTTAGTTTTATTTATATTCAGTCTCAGATACTTAAATAATTATTTATATGTTGTCCTTTTGTCTTTATATTCTGAATAATGTTGCATTTTTTTTTTTTACAGCAAAATATTAGCACATCAAAGAAATGTGCTGTTTGTTGCTAACATCCATGCCTTTTGTGGTCATGTTGTCTCAAAGTTAATAATTCATAGAATGCGAAATATTCACTCAACTCAGATTGGGAACTAATACCACCAGGTCAAGATAGGCACTTGCTCAGCTAAATATACTGTTTTCTGTGCTCATCTGTAATAGTCCAATTCATCTTCAAAAGATTTTAAAAGTTTGGAACTTTCACAGAAACTGTATGGACTGGATGGTATCTGTTTCATTGGTTCTGTCTTCATTATTTGAAACTGATTATGTATATTGTATATGTTTTCATTTTCCTTTTACTAAACTGATAACATCTATATTTTTATTTTCCTTTGGCTTGGAAGATCAGTTTGTCTTTGAACTTGATCATATTTTGTCATATTCATCAGCAGCCCATTGAATATAATTCTCTGTAAGCAAATGGATGAGCCAAGTTGTACGGTATTTGAGACCCGTTATGATTATAATGTCAATGTGATGGTATTCTACATCTTGTTCCCATCCCTTATCACCTATTAAATATTAAAATGTTATGGACAGATTCAAGTTTGAAGCAAGAAAACTTTGCTAGAAACAAATGAGAAATGAAGTTGTAGCGTGTTTTGTGTTTAGAGTTTGCAAGCCATATTGAAAAATATTGCCTTAGAACTGTTTGTCTTTTTGTTGATTCTTTGTCCCCAGAAGAACATTTGAGTCTGTGAGAGCATGGGGTCATTATTTAGCTACTGATTCATTTCATGCATGTATCAGAAAAGTAATTTTTAACGTCTATATTTTCATTTTCCTTTTGCTTGGAAGATCAGTTTGTCTTTGAACTTGATCATATTTTGTCATGTTCATCAGCAGCCTATTGAATATAATTCTGTGTAAGCAAATGGATGAGCCAAGTTGTACGGTATTTGAGACCCATTATGATTATAATGTCAATGTGATGGTATTCTACATCTTGTTCCCATCCCTTATCACCTATTAAATATTAAAATGTTTTGGACAGATTCAAGTTTGAAGCAAGAAAACTTTGCTAGAAACTAATGAGAAATGAAGTTGTAGCGTGTTCTGTGTTTAGAGTTTGCAAGCCATTAAAAAAAATATTGCCTTGGAACTGTTTGTCTTTTCATTGATTCTACGTCCCCAGGAGAACATATGTTGTCTGTGAGAGCATGGGGTCATTATGTAGCTACTGATTCATGCATGCATCAGAAAAGGAAATTTTTACTGGAGAGGGCTCCCATTTTTCATCGGGAACAAATTTGTTTCATAAAGGGGGAAATTCTCATGGAAATGTCGGCCGTGACTGGAATTTTAACTGACTTTATTTTTTTCATCTTGTTGTGTTTTTCATACAGTAAATCATTCTTTTTTTCCAATTTTTTTTTTTTTTTTTTTCAGAGGAAGCAGTGGAACAGATTATACTTGTAGGAGAAGATACAAAACATTTAAAAGATGTTGCTAAGGTAGGATTTTTAGTTTTACTTCCCATCTGAGTTTATCGAGCTGTGTGACTTAATTTTTAAAAGTTTCAATAGTGTATATTTTTCTATTTGTGCCAAGTACTTTGTTATACTTTGACGCATGACGAATAGATTATGTTTATATTATGCGCATATTTGTACCGGGTTGGATCGAAATTCTCCTTGATTGAGCTTTCCAAAAATTAATAATTAACTATTAAAGGGTAAAAAGACAAATTTTCTTTGTATTCATGTTGAAAGTGCTTCTTAAAGCAAGAACTTTCAAGTGTTTACAGCATTTTTTAGCATGTGTTTGGATGGTAGTGTAGTTATAATTCTCTTATTTTTCAATTCCAACTGCTTTTTCTGTATCTTCTCTTCTATGAATTTATTACCTAGACTATTCAAATGTGTCTTGTTTTCCTGTTTTTCTGCATTTATTAACCATTTTCATTTTGATGTGCCTCTCTTTACTCAAACAACCAAATTCCGTATGCTTTTCAGAAAATCCGAGGTGTTTCCAATGTGGTTACATCACAAACTGGACTGGAGCTGGTCAAATGGGCCTGCGAATGTGAAACCTCGTTTGTTGTTGCCCAATTTGAGGGGGAGACTTTCATGAAACTACGCAGAGCACAAGTGCGCATCATTGGCCCAACCGTCCTGCACCATTGTGCCCAAGACGACCTGGTGTGTATAGTTCCGTTTAAGTTATTGGATTTGTAAAAGCGCGAGGAGCTTGCTCTTGAGAGGAAATTTGCACTTTTCAAATACTATCTGTTATCATTATTATTATTTTTATTATTTTATTATTATTTTTGTCTGTGTTATTGACAAAATCTTTTTGAGCTTTGAAACCCTAGGGGCACCAAAAGAGCCAAAATGTTTCTGAGCTTCTTTGATTCACATTGTTTTTGTTAAGAACGTTGTGAAACTCAAACTCAAACCCAAATTACATATATGCACCATTGGAACATTTTGTCTTTCTTTATGTCTTAAATGTGCAGTGTAATTTGTAATCTTAGATGTACCACAATCTGTTGGTTTTGTTGTTTTTCTCCTTCAATGGGGATGTAAGATGCTGGAAACATTCTTTTTTAAAAAACTGGTTGAGAACTTTTCCTTCTGGATCGTAACTTACTATGATACCCACATTACTTGCCTGTGACTTATGTTAGGTAGGTGAAACAAACTCTATATCCTCTCATTGTATCTTTTTGATAGATTTTGGAAATGGCACGTCCAACCTCCCAAGTAGCTTATTTTGAATTATATGAGATAATGATGTTTCATTTGAGATCGTGAGGTTTCTTTTTTTTTTCTTTTTTTTTTTTGGGTTACCTTAAAAGTATGCACAGTGAATAAATATTTTAATGATTTTACGTCGTCCTCAGCTTTTGCCAGTCAATACACGTCCACTTTATAATCTTTCGATGAAAGATCAAGTGATATGCTTTACAGGCTTCAAAAACAAAGAAAAACTTGTAAGTAATTTGATGTTATGTTATTTATTTTCTATGACACTTTTCAGTTCTTAAGTGCATGTATTTTTCTTTTGTAATTTGTTGCATGCTATTTTAATTCTTTTCAAAATACGTTAATACATATTGCATTTTAAGAATTTACTCATTGTAGACTAGCGCTTTCATACAGCTATTCCCTTATTGTAAAGTCACTTAAAAACATATTGAAAGTTCTTCTTCAAATTTGAATGTCTTCCAGATTTCCTGGCTTGGACTTTTAAGAGAAGAATAACGGCTCACGGAGCAAGAAACCTTAATTGCTTTTGTACAAATGTAAATAATAAAGTTTTCCAGTTTCTTTTGTAACTTTGTGATCAGCTAGATGATTTTTAGACTTGTTGTCATGGCTACTTGATTTCATAAGTCTTTTATTACTCATCGTCATTCTAGTTTTAATGATACTATCATTTCTTCGTGTTTTTCTGTTTATGTGCAAAATAGATTTGGTTGGTGGATCATGTGCATTACATGGGAGGCAGTGTGCGCAAAGATGAAAGCATTCGCATCACTCACATGGTGGCTAACATTACACATGGTGCTAAATACAGAGTAAGTACAATTTGTTCTGTTGTGTTGGTGGGTGGGTTTTGTTTTTTTGGGGGTGGGGGGTGGGGGGGGTTTTGTGTTGTTGGGTTTTTTATTGGGGGGGGGTTGTTACATATATGTCAGTTAAGAAAGGAGTAGCCATTTCTGGCGTAAGAGCGTCACAGATGACACTTTTATAAAATTACTAGTTGGGCCCCCTTTCAATGAAAGGAATGATCAGTGCATTAACATCAACTGAAAGTCATTGGCCTACTATATTTACACTCTACTGGAATGGAGCAATAAATCTTGAGAGATGCAAAATATTAGAAGGTCTAGATCTAGATCTATACTCTCAAAACAAAATGCGCCTTGCAAAATATCATTTCTGCACCGGATTTTCTAAAATTGCAGAGACAGAAGCGTCGGCCTACAATAGCGATTGGCGAAATAAAGAAATTTAGCTTTTTGCAGCTAAACTGTCTCAAAACGGAAAAAATGAAGGGCGTCATGATCTGGAGAATAATTTAAAGAATCTTTTGGCAAAAACTGCATGTCGATCGATGCTGCCATTAAAAAGCCTTTTGAATAGCAAAATTCGGCCACCACAAATAGATAATAGATAGACAGAATCTTTAGAAAATGATACACATAAATATATCTCAGTTTCAGTTTGGTAACAGTTTTACGTCGATCGCAACCTCACAATGTCATAAGAGAGCGCGTATAAATATGAGAAACGATTTTACCAGCAATCTCAGCTTTTACACTCAAGAGTTCCTCTAAGTAGGAGCATTCTCCTTCTCTTGGATTTTTATTCTTCTAAATGTCCTTCCTAAAAAAAAATTTTCCTGTGGCTCCTGTATAGATCAAATGGGAATTTTTTTGCTGTAGTCTTAACAGCATCAAACCACGAGTTTTAAACTTTGCTCAAGAACTAGATGTAACTTGTAAGACAGTCAGTTTTCAGTGGCTTTAAATTTCTTTTTAAAGTATTCATATTTATGCGCAATAAGGCATCATTTATACTCGTAGGGTTTTTTTTCCATAGCTTTAGTATATTATTGGACTTGTATGTCCAAATTCCCTTTGTAGTTGGACAGTTGCTTCTATGACAAAATGTGAATGGCAGGAATGTGTTAAGATTTGATTGATTGATGATGATACCCCTTACATTCTCTCCAGTTTGCTGTCAACATGGGCAAGCCGATCATGAGTGAAGACTGGATCAGTCGTCTGTGGTCGGACAAAGAAGATGTCAAATCAAGTGCGCTGAATCCTCAGCTGGTTAGTTTTGTTCCCCGTCTGTTGCTGTCAAACTTAAAAGACGTGTCGTGTAGTGTGTGGAATCATGATGAGTGGATAAATGGAAAGGACAAAAATGAATGAAAATGTGTGGCCTTAATAATTAGTATAATTCTGTTCATGGGTGTGCATGAGTGAATTTTCAAAAACTTGCCTATGTAAGGTAGGTTCTTTTTTTTTTCTCCTTTCAAAATAACTGATTTTTCGAGGATGTTGTCCTGCTAACATCCCTTGACGTCCTGAACCTGTCCACATTGGGAAGGGAAAGGGGGGCGTCTTAATATCACCCAGGCCCCTGTCTAATAATGTTACTGTCTTTTTTGTAATAGGCGGTTCCCACTGGAGGATCGGTTCGGTTTCTGCTTTCGTTTGGTTTGTGCCATGGTGGTAGCTTTTGCCCCTCCATGAAGGAAAATCTGGCTAGCCCCAAGGACCAAATCGAACCGAACCAATCCTGCCAATGGGCACCACGTTTTATATTGGCAGAGGTAATTGGAAGAGGAGGGGGGGGGGGTGTGAATGCTGTTATGGATATTGTTAAATGAAGTGACAATAAGCAGTGATCAAGTAGCTTTCAGTCCTTTTGATTTTTACAACTTTCACTCGTAATTAATGGTTCATTTGTCTCTTACAGAATGTATACCGAATGAAGCCTTTCTATGAATGCTGCCTCAGTTTTCTCGGCTTCTCTGCGGAAGAACAGAAACATATGGAAGAGCTTACCATTGAGAACGGTAATTATTCCTTCTTTTGTACCCGTGATTTTCAGTTTCATGCCAGAAAAAGAGAAACGATCACCAAATCTGTGAAATGAAATACAACTGGTAAAATTTGTTTGAATAATATAATGCTATAAGTGTACCTTGTGATGTTTTGTTTTGTATTTCTTTTTGGATTTTCTCTAACGATGTCAATATACCTAGTTATGTCAGTCCTGCCTCAGAGGCTAATGGGTTTGTTGTTTTTTTCAATTTGCTATGCTCAGGAAAATACCAAGCCATTCATAAATATATTTTATTCTTTTCCTTGTCATTTTACCCCCCTTGACTTTGAGCTTTAAATTTTATGCCAAGTATATATTATATTGTTCTGTTATTTCTTCAGGTGGCAGCTTTGCTGATCTAGGCTCCAAGGATGTAACCCATTTAGTTATCGACAACCAGAATGTGAAGGACGTTCCTTCGGATATACATTTACCACCTTTCATTGTCAGAGGAGAGGTAAGGAGAATTGATACATCATTTTACTCTTTGGCTTTGGCAATAGTTTGCCGAAATAACGAACGACAGCATGTGTACCTCAACATGGAGAGTGGTTATTTTTACATGCAACCAGAAGTTCCTGACCGCAAACTCTAAGGACAAGGTTTCTTCCATGGGCTAGGAATGGTTCTTGTATTAAAGATGGGCTAAGGCACATTTATGTCAAGGACTCGTAATTGTTTTACTTCTAAAAATTTTAGTGCCACTGTATTCTTGTTTATTCTAAATCTTCTGTCTGACATTGCTATGTTGTTTTTTTGTCTTTGTCACAGTGGTTTTGGGGCTGCATACAGATGGCTGCTTGTGCTGATGAACAAATCTACACATTTGAAAAGGTAATTTTACGTCTGTCCTGGCAGGAATTGGGTATAATGTGAGGTGGACAATCGTAAGTTGCCCCATAGACTTTCTTAAACATTCTGAAATCACAGTTGGGTTTTTGATTGTGGGAAATGGCCTTACAAGCTGTAAGATTGTATTGAGAAGAGACTCAAGTGTTTCAAAGAGAAAGCACATTAGACAGTTACTCTTTGGGGGGGGGGGTAATAATTGCTCGCTCTGGTAATGGGTGAGGGGAAAACACAGGATAAATGGGTGAGGGAAACGCTAACCTCTTCTCTTTTCCCAAAGAAACGGTGGCTTTCTGTTCCAAATCAATCAAATGAATAGTTACCTAGTTGGTGTCTCAGGTGATTGACCTTTGGGGGTTTTTTGGTTTTATTTTTTGTTTTTGTTTCTTTCCGAGGGAGATGTTTTTATTATGATAACAATAATAATAGATAGCATTTGTATAGACCAAACCCCTGCTCAAAAGAAAGCTCTATGCGCTTCACAATCTATACTTTACAATAGTCTTTCTCATACACTACTGGAAGTTTCAGCCATGGGGATGTTTAATGCATTCCTGGGGTACATCAGGTTTTCAAATTTTATTAAATATTGTCTGTGATTTCTGCGCTTAATTGTGATTATGCATTTATCATCTTGTTATTAATTTCTTTACATAATTTCTTGCATCTTGTTATTTTTTTCTTTACATAATTTCTTAAAGATAATCTTTATTATTCAAAATGTACGAGGTCACTCTGAATTTATTTTCTGCAATGGTAGAATGTCACGATCCAGGGGAATACATTATTAAAATTTTGTTCAAAATGCACATTGAAATTGATCCCAGTCCTCCTGAAATTGAAACATGACATTAAACAATTTTGTACTGGTATGGCAAAGTAACAGATTTTAAAGTGTAAAATGGTGCCAGTTTGTTATGGATCAGAATAAAAACTTAAACCAATATGAAAAGCGTTCGCTGAATTATTTTAATCACGTCAACATAGCCATACTAATGTCAATATATGTATTTCCCAGTTATCTACGCCGGCTAGACACCCGAGAAGCAGTCATGCACTGGCTAAATCTCGGAAACGGAAGCGTCTCCAGGAACTGGCAGCAGAGACAGAAGGCTCTCCTTTCATGAACTACAAGCGGCGCTCGTCGTCGGCTGACGTGAGCGCCACCTCCATGAGCCCAGACTCCTTCTTAGACTTGACCTACACGCCTGACAAGACAGACCCACATCTCTGTAAGTTGGACAAAGGCACTCCACAACTTTTACAAACAGCTTTTTTTTTTCCCAATTGTTGAGAAAAATGATAGATCTCGAGGGAGGATAGAGTAATATGCCACAAGGCTGGGGGAATAGGCTGGTGGTGTGATTGTTTGGGAGAGATTGGGTATGGGATGGCAGTAATGGTTTGGGAGAGATTGGGATTGGGGTGTCACTGATGGTTTGGAAGAAATTGAGAATAGAATGGCGGAGATTAATTGGGAGAAGCATGACAATAGTAGGAAGGTGCAGAGTAGTGAGATATGTTACAGGCAGCTACAGATCACAAAGACATATATATGTATGATGTTGAGAAGTACATTGATATTAATAGCTTTCTTTTTGATAATTCAAAACAACTCATGGAAGCGACTGAGTGTTGTTTGTAGAAGTAGGTTTTTTCCCCCCAATTATTTCATTTTTTTCAGCCGTCAGATAACGGTAAATGCTATGGGGATGTCATTTTGCTGCTTATCTTTACAGTAAAATTATTTCCTCACCCAGAGTTTACACGTGAATATATTCCTAGAAAATACAGAACTAATGTGTGGATATAATATACTTATCAATTTCTTGCAACGAAAAGAAAGAGAAAGTTTTTTTCAAGGTGATTCTAGTGTGAATAAGACATGACCTCCATTTCCGCTCCACAGCTGAGCTGAAAATTGACAAAGAAGAAAATGTGCCAACTACCACTGGAAAGATCAGCAAGAGACAGATGGTTGTGATGGAACTGTTGCAGACGGAGCAGAACTACGTTGGGATTCTTCATACCATCCTTCATGTAATACTTTTTTGCAACATTTTTGTGTCTCCGTTTTTCAGTGACACAGCTTGAGAAATATTTTTTTTAAAGGTCACACGGTGCTGCGAATGAAACAGAGAGAGAGAGAAATGTTTTACAGAGCAGGTTGTTTCAGTACGTGAGACATGTATTTACTGTTGTCTTGTCTTGTGCGTATGTGTGAGTGCTCCTAATAGGGGGTGCGGATGGGGTCGGGTCGTTTTCTGGTGGTTTCAGTGCACACTACAACCTCGCTGCGATTGTACCCGCCGACCTGGAAGTAAAAATAGAGAAACCTTTAACCTTCCAGGGCTCCTTTCCGCAGTTCCCTGTTGCAGTACTGCAGCTGCCTGGAATCACATAAGCATGGGTTACAATACTTATCTTTTTAAAAATATTATATACCAGGGGCAAATAAACAGCAGAAATTGGAAATGCATTTGTATATTATATAACAGTAAATGCATTCATGATTAATTATGTATTTATTATGGTTCTGTGTTTGTTGATACGGTAATTTATGAATTGTATTCATACTTTTTTGCAGACATTCAAAGCAGAGATAGAAAAACCTGACCAGTACAACGGAGCTATACTGGCACCCCAAGACACCAAGATCATCTTTGGCAATATTCCCCCAATATACGATGTTCACTGCAAATTGCGTGACTCGTTGACGCAGCTGATAGAGAACTGGTCTGAGGAATCCAGTGTTGGAGACTGCATCTTAAATAGGGTTTGTTACATTTCTTCTCGTCTCATTTCAATGAGTGGGTGTTTGGCGTGTGCTTTGGTGTGATTTGCTGCTTCTTTCTTATCAAATATCTATCGTCCTTATCTCTCTTCCTTCTTTTTGTGTTTGTTGCTCTCTTGTAACATCTAATCCTTGACATTTATATGACCTAATAGCGTTGCAAGTGGCGTAAAACTCGTGACTAAAACTACTAAATCATTTGTTAGGAGGGAGCCCTTTTTATTTTTGTAATGCTTGTATGCTTATATAAGCAGATATTTTCCACACAAGAGAAAGCAGTGTTGTTTGAGTACAGTGGCCCAGTCAGTTGGAACATTCAAATTGATTTACTGACTGTTTCATATATGAAATAGTGTACGTGGTTGTTTTGTACATTTTCAGAATTTTTTTGGTAAATTTTTCTTTTTTCTTTTTTTTTAAGGGGGTGCAAAATGTAGCCATTATTGTGCTGACCAGGTAAACACTTCATGAAAACTTTGCTTTGAGTGTAAAATGTGACTGTCATTGTTGAGTTACAGCCTTAAAGCTCTCAAACCCATGGAGTATGGACCATGACAAGACTTTTGTTTGAGATGAGCACTATGAGCTGAATTCGTGCAGGTGCCATGGCAACATTTGGTTGCTTTTAAAGGACAAGCGGGCTCACCTAGATTTCGGAGGTTTCCAGAAATCTTGACCTGCACCAAAAGTGGGCATTGCCCTACCTATAGAAGAAGTATGGTTTCATTGGTGTGTATATTTGTTTGATTATAGAGAAAACTCTCCCGGTCTTTTAACGAAACTGAACAAGGGGCAAAAATTGTACTTTGACTTTCTCAAAACAGCACTTTTCGGGATAGATAGCCCCCTTGTGCTTAAAAGCGACCATTTTATCTTATGAGTTCTTTGTTGTTATTTGAGAATAAGAACTGCCTTCATTTTTCTTTCTGTCTTTCTTTCTTTCTTTCTTTCTCTTTCTATCTTTTTCTTTCTTTCTTTCTTTCGTTCTTATGAGTTCTTTCTTCCTTTCTATCTTATAATTTAATTTCAGACTTGATTGTTATAAATTTATTTTGATTTTGTGATTTCTTATTTCAGGCGGAAGAGCTTACAAAGGCTTACCCTCCCTTTGTTAACTTCTTTGAAAGTACAAAAGAAACAATAATCAAGTGTGACGGCTCCAACCCAAGATTTCATGCTTTTCTCAAGGTGAGCAGGAGAGTTCATGGTAACTTGTTCTTCCCTTTTTTCTTCTGTAGCACAGTCTCAATGACATGTCTATTTCCATCCTGTCACAGGAATGTAAATCTTCCGGCTTTTTCCGTTTTTTTTCCCGGCCGACTTGCCATTTGGGCCCCAGCTTTCAACAAAAGTCTACTCTATAAACAGTACATATTATATATATACTAAATAGAGATTATTTGTTGTAATGGAGGGAAAGAAACAAATATAATTTAGTCTCTCTGTATTTTTATTTCTGTCAGTGCGCACGCGCCGTATATTTTCCGACTTTTTTTTCAAAACCTATTAACATCCCCGCTGTTATGTATCTATACATATTTACACCGGTACATGCATAGAGATGCTGCATTCTGTTTTTTAATAAGGATTTTTATCCGAGATTTCCATCAAGAGTGTTGTTACTCATCTATAGTGTTGTTGCAACTGAGTAAAAGTTGAAGCAAAGTAGCTGTGTGTGACAGTGTCTTAGACATCAGCTGTAAGGATTCAATTTGTATGTTTTCATTAAGATACTGTTTACCCATAGAAAAGACGAGGAGTTAATATTGCTGGGAACTAAGAGATTGGGGGTTATACCGGGTGCTAATTGCGAATAGGATCGCGTTGAGTCGGGTTAGGTCAATCGCGCGACTCGTCGCCTGAAAACGAACGCATTTGGGTGTTTTTTATGATGAGTCGGGTGCAGTCGGCTTGTGCAACAATAGCCGCTTTGCACCCTCAATCTGGCTGGCAAACCGACCCGACCTGATCCCCTAATGGGCACCCCGTGTTAAGGTGTTCATCATTATCCGATGTTAGTCAATGTCAAAGATTGCAAGGATGCACTCTTTATTGCTTAGGGGAATTCCCAACAGTTGACCGGTGGATAGATGGTAACTGGCTCTCACACTTGCTGTGCCAGAAAATTTATAGGAGTGTATTTGCACGGCCAAGAATCTTTTTGAATGTTGGTGGAAAAACCTCTTGAGATATTGTTTGTTTGCATCGCCTGCTTGGAGTTAGATTCCGCCATATGCTATTTTGGAAAATGACGTATGACAGTCTTACACTGAGCAGTCAATATATTGTAGAAGTTGAAGACTTTATTTTACTGATCCAGGGGCCATCTGAGCTCTATCCCTTTAGTCTGTCGATATGGCAAAGAATTTACAGGTTTTTATCAGCTGTTTTGTCGTTGTATAGAGCATTTCCGATGTCTAGGGAGGCAGGTAGGTAGGTGCTATGCAGGTCGCTAAGTGCAGGGCAGGTAAAGAGGTGGTGTGATACTGTTCCACCCAGGCAGTCACACAACGGGCAGTCAGGTGGGGTATCCTTGCGGATCCTATTTTGGTAGGAAATCGGTAGGATGCATTGTGTTTGCAGGCGAAAGATAGTGATTTGATAGAAGTTGAAGAACATTGCTTGCTTTGATCTTTTCCCAAAACCAGAAAATCTTTCAATAGAAATGATCAAAAGTTCTCTTGAAAGTTACGTTAAGGCATAAGATGAGATTCACTTGTGACAGAAAAATAGACCTTATATTTGTCCAAGGGTTCTAGCATCTTCAGCTGACTTCCTTTCATGTCTAGCTGGGTCAGGTGTTCAAATCACTGACATGTGTGCACAAATGTTTACCACAGGTCTATCAGATTTCTCCTTTCCCGTTGGTGACTGTGGCGTAGTTTTGTATTTGACGGTACTAAAGAAACAGTTATCAAGTGCGACAGCTCCAACCCTTAGCAAATGCGGCAACTGTGTAAGCGGGCTCTTATTTTTGTCTGCTTTTCTGGAATAATTTTCCACCCAATCCAGATAATTCACCTTTGAAACTATCAACATTGTTTCAAGTAGGTCGTGGGTGGTTGGCAGGTGCTCTTGTGTGGTTTGCTCCTTCTTTCCTATCAATCATCTATCGTCCTTATCTACCCATCCTTCTTTTTTGTGTTTGTTTGTAACACCTCTAATCTTCGGCTCTTATATGACCTTATTGTGTTGAACGTGCTGTAAAACTCTTACTAAAATTTTTTTTTTTTTTTACTTGGAGAAGTTTGTCCAACTCACTGTGCACACAGACTAACCAATGTACTTTCTTCCTTTTCCAGCTGTGTTTGAGTAAACCAGAGTGTGGGCGTCAGTCGTTGCAGGAGCTGCTCATCCGACCCGTGCAGAGACTGCCAAGTGTTGTTTTACTGCTACAAGGTCAGTGGGTGTGCTGCGATGTAAATTTTACGCTGTTTTACTCCCAGTTAATTTAATAAAAATCTATATTTTGTCCTCTGTTTATTGAATGATTGGTACAAGTTAACGGCATTGCGGTTACTGGGGGGCGGGGAGAGAGGGGGGATGATTTCACTGTCCTTTAATTAATGTTGCTGGCATGGCTTTGTCACTTGATTGTAGATTACAGTTTTGATGCCTGGATCTGATATGATATTATGCTTTATGGTGTGGTGTCTCGCAAGTCAAAAGTTTGTGATCAAATTGGAAACACCGCTTACTGGGATTATTTCTTTTAGAACCTGTCAAAGTGCAAAAGTTAATGTTACAGTTTCATACCCATTATATGCTCTTGCCATTATTGAAAATAAATAGAACCTGTCAAAATGCAAAAGTTAATGTTACTCTTTCGTATTCTGTATTATGATATATGCTCTTACCATTATTGAAAATAAATTTTATTTTTTTTCCCTTTTCCTTTAGATTTGCTGAAAAGAACTGACAGCAATAATCCTGATAAGATGAAATTGGAAAAGGCCATTGAGAAAGTAAAAGCAATAATGACGTAAGTGACAACCTAGGTTGGAGTGAATGTGAGGATAGTCTTAGGGAGCATAGCTCTGAGCAGACAATCTTTGAAAGGGCTCGGGTTTTTTTTAAAGAATAGAATTGTTTCAAATTTCCCTGTTGCATTCAGGTATTTAGAGTGTTGTTTTTTCAAATATGGAATTCTATGTAATGAACTAAAATGGTCCTGAAGTTTTTTACATCGTCTTACTTTTATTACAAGACAACTGGGATATTCCAAATTTCTCTCAAACATACAGACCTCTGAATATTTTTTACATGGGATTCTATGCGATGAGCCGAATGAGTTTCTCATCATCTCAAATAGTAATGAGTGTGATCTTTGAGAGACAAGAGATTGTAAGTCCTCATGTCATCTTTAGTAAATCAAATGAAGAGAAATGTTGTTTAATGTTTGATAGAATTGTTATGAATATTGCTTCATTTGCTCTTCCTTTAAATCAGTATGACTAAGTGTGCAGCTTATTGTATCTTGCCATCTTTCTGTGTTACTGAAATCTATATTTCTTTACTGCTTTTTTTTTTTTTTTCAGACATATAAATGAAGACAAAAGGAAAACAGAAAGTCAGGTTGTGATGTTTGATATTGTGAACGACATAGATCACTGCCCAGTAAGTGTCACTGCTTTCACATAGATATATATATATGTATATATACCAATTGTTTGACTTTCACTTTTTTTGTCTATTCTTCAACTGCCATGGGTGATTTAGTGGGTGGTTGGCAGGTGCTCTGGTGTGTTTGCTCCTTTTTTCCTATTAAAAAATGTATCTTTTCTATCTCCCGTCCTTTTTTTTTTGTGTTTGTTGCTCTCTTGTATTACTTGTAACACTTCTAATCTTCGGCACTTGTATGACCTTGTTGTGCTGCAAGTGCCGTAAAACTTTTATAAAAACTAAAACTAAAAAAAGGGTGATTTAATATGATTTGAGCTGGAAACTGTTCACATTTCCATTGTGTTTCACCTTGGATTTGATGATTAATGTATAGCTTGCTTGTTCTATGCATAATGTGTCCGCTCAAATTGTTGTGAAAAACTGTTTTCTAATAATCTTTAAAGCGTGGCATAAGGGACTTTGGCCAGTATGGCATCAACATGACTTTCATTCATTCAACTCTTGTTGATGTGTTTCATATCAGATGTACAGTTTCATGTTCAGTCTCTTTGTATTAGCTTATTATTCTCCGTTTACTTTCTTCTGATCTGCAGATAACTTACGATCATGGTTTCATTTTTTATTTTAAAGTTTTTCAACGGTTAGTTCAAAGCAGCCTTTTTCTTAGTAAGGAATTCACGCTTGTTTCCCTTTCTTTTGGTGCTGGTTTTATTCTGTAGTGGTGTTTCTTTTTCCATAAATAGAAAGAGATGAATTTGTGAGGGTTCGTGGAAACATGGCCATTTGCTGATGAGAATGAGTAGACTTTTTATGTCCATGGATCGTCGAAACATGGCCATTTGCGGATGAGAATGAGTCGACTTTTTATGTCCATGGATTTTCCTACAGATCTCTTATCCCTTTCACTCATTAATATTTTTTTATTCCAGGCAACCCTTCTGTCCTCCAACCGTCATTTTGTCATGAAAGTGGATGTGATGGAGCTGTCGGGGAATTTGTCCTCTCGTGGAGATCCCCTCACTTTGTTCATTTTTTCAGATAATGTTGAGGTCAGTATATGTGTGTGTGTGCCTAAAGGAAGGTACGAAAAGTCACGGATTTTAACCATTGTGAGTTAAGGGTTGTACCTAATAGGACATTCAATGCTGAACACAGTGGTTTTTCAATTTTTTAGGTAAATCTCAAGTAGTTTTTGAGATATTGCCCGTTTTGCGAGGTAGGGTATAAAGATCTAATTTTGAGAAAATTAGCTTTTAAGTTTAGAACATGTCCTACAAACTTGAAAATAAACGATGATTCAATTGTTTCTAATGTATTTATTCATGGAAAATTCATTTCCAATTCGGCATTCACTCGACAACATTATGATATTATTGTGTATGTATTTATCTTTGTATATTTATGTATATTTTTGGAAACCAATTCTCCTAATAAGGATCAATAAATATGGAGTTCATTAATTTTTTAACATTTATACCTCACGCTTTCAGATTTGTAAAAGAAGAATGAAAGTGTTAGGATCCTCAAATTCTCGGAGTCCGGCCGTCCCACACAAGACCCCACAGAAAGCGTACAAGCATCTGGACATCATAGCCATGACGTCGATCAAGAGAGTCATTGATGTGGCTGAAGCAGAGGGTTAGCACAATTTTTATTTTTTATTATTTTTTTACATGAATTTTTTGTTGTTGTTGTTGTTGTTGTTTTCTTTTAAATGTGTGTGTGTGTGTATGACTTGTATTGTTAGAGGTAAAGAGCATGCTAGTCTACTGTTACGAACTTCCTGGATTTGAGAATGTGAGAGTATACATTTTTAGCCTTCTACGCCAAAACCGGTCCCACTTGATGTACTGTAATTTTGTTCATTGTTACATAATCTTTTTTTTTCCCCCTCTTGTTTTTCCTCAGAGTTTTTTTGTTTGTTTGTTGCTGTTTTTTGGGTGTATTTTGTAAGTTTGTGGTTGGTTTTTTGGGGGGGATGGGGGGGGGGGGGGTTGTTTTTAAATTTTGTATATTTTTTGGGGTAAAGTTTACTAAGATTTGCATGAAGAAACTATTACCGATTATATCCCTTTTTACTGTGTGGCTGTTTGAATAAATTGAAGTGTGTCCCGTCTGTGTCTTTGTGACAAGTCTCTGCCTAAGCTGTGTATTGTTCTTTCACCTGTGTTTATAGATAAGATATTGGATTTTTTTAGTTCCTCCTCCTCTCCTCCCCCCCCCCCCCCCCCCAGCAGAGATTCAAGGTGGGTGGTTGGCGGGTGCTCTGGTGTGATTTGCTCCTTCTTTCCTATCCAACAACTATCGTCTTTATCTCTCCTCCTTTTTTTTATGTTTGGTACTCTCTTATAACACCTCTAATCTTCTGGCGCTCATATGACCTTATGCAGTTGCGAGCGCCGTAAAACCTCTACTAAAACTAAAGAGATTCAAGGATGCATCTTGGGATAGTGAGTAGTTTAGTAAAAAAAATTGATGTACGTTCTGTTTATTATTATTTTATTTTGTGCTGCAGATTGTGGCCAGGCCTTCGCCCTCATAGTGCGGGACAGTGCCGTGACCAAAGAGAAACTCTACAGCTTCACAATGGACGCAGATGTCTCCAAGTCAGAAGTCTTGAACAGCATCTGCAAGAACCTAGCCATTGTCCTGTGTCGGCCAGATATTGTAAGTTTTTCATGATGGTCCCTATTGCTTTAGGAGTTGAAAATTATTGGTTTGGCCGAAACATCGGTTGACATAGATTTTTATTTGTTTGGGTTTGTTGTTTTTTTGGTGTGTTTTTTTTTCTGCCATTCCTGGATTACTTTTCCTCATTAACAAAGTGCCATAATATGGGGGGGGGGGGGGGGGTTACCTTATTTGTTCCTTATGTTGATCCCAATAGGGCATCGTCAGATGTCATTTTAAAAGGTATACCCACACATCTATAACAAAAATAGTCTCAGGAGTGTTTTAATTTTTAAAATTTTAAAACTTCATTTCGCTTTATATTGCGATTATCATTCTTAATTATTTTCTACATTGTAGCGACTATTGACTTTTCAATTGCAAAGGTCCATTGCATGAATTCTATCAGGACTTGAGCCTGAGGGGTTTTTTTCCTAAATTTTTCACAACCTATTTATTGACTTGACAAGTAGAATAGGTATCCCTGAAAGAAACACCCTGGCTCTAAAATTCAAACTGATCCTCTTTTTCTTTTCTTTCTTTTTCTTTTTAAACAGGAAACATTCTTAGCAACGGTAAATGGTGAAGAACTCGGCATCACTACTAAAGATCTGCACAAAGGACACAAGGCTCTCAAGTAAGTTGTTGTTTTCAGAAACTGAATCTCCTACTGGTAAGCCAAGGGCAAGCAGGGAAAGGAGATTGTAAGTGGGATAGAAAAAAAGGACACGGCATGCTCTTTGATGTGTTACTTTAGTTTAGTTAGAGTTTTACTGCGCTCACAACTGCATAATTTCATATGAGCGTGAAACCACTAGTTGGTTGCATTCACAACGGTTCGCAGCACGGTTTGGTTTTGGTCGATGTTCATATTAAAATGTTACTCTTTGATGTGTACAGTTGAGTTTGTTAAGTGGGAGGGATACACGGGTCTGTTCTACTGAAGCAGTATCTTTATCACAGTACTGGGGTGGTAGCTTCTGCTGCAAAGTTCACATCGTGTGAAGTTTCTTGTAATTGTGACGTATTTCCACAGTGAGGTATACATGTACATAGTGTGTCTTTGGGTTTCCAAAGAATGAAAAGATACACCACCTGGCATTTCTTTTTTTCTTCTCTGATGTGTATAAACACAGATTATTGGCTTTTGTCTAGTTCTAAGAGTCGTGAAAAGGCTATTTTGCTTACTCTGTTGCTTGTATACACTTTGTGATGGCATTGTGAACTCGTTTATGTTCATTTGTTGAAAGGGCTGTAAGGGTTGGGCTGGGCTTTTTAATTCAATCTATAATTATTGTTATTATTATCATTTGGTGTGAATGGGTACTAGGTCGTAGATTGTAAAAGATCTTGTCAGTCTGTTAACATTTAATTAAGGGCCTGTAAAATAGACCACCGTATACCCCCCGGGGCGGTGCCACTGACTGAAGTGTCTTTAGGCCATTCCCAAAGGGGGGGGGGGGGGGGGATTTCTCGTTCTAATGCATGGTAGAATTGTAAATGGGCTAGTCATACAATGTCATGCTCATAACTGTGCCTGAACTACAACAGGGAACTGCTGCTTTTTCTTTCCTAATCCTTACTATTGTCATTTTCCTCTACTTCTTTTGTATGTTTGTCACACTCTTGTGACTCGCTATTTCCAGGGTGCCTTGATAGTCAAAGCAGGCCTTGTGCTGTTAAAGCTAGAGAGGTGAGCAGAGTAAGTCTGATTCCCTGTAAAGACTTCTCTGTTGACACCCACCCCTTGGCTCTCATATGACCTTATGCAGTTGCGAGCGCCGTAAAACCCTCTACTAAAAAATATTTCAAAAACTTCTACTAAGCTGAATTTATTTTGATGTTTCTCAGATTTAGTCGCCGTGTGAGCCGAGCGTTTTCTTTCAACAAGACTCCCAGCAAACTGAAGAGAGCTGTCTCTGGAATGGTGCATGGCCTGAGCCCGTTTGTGAAAGACTCCAGACATCTTCAGTTCGGTCAAGTCAGAAAACTTGCCAGCACGTTTGATTTAACTGTAAGGAGTTTTTTTTTATAGATTTAACTTGTCACACTGTTTCATCTTGTTCTTATGATTCCTGCGTGACATACAACTGTACCTAGTTTAGTTTTGTATGACCACAGTACAGTTTAGTTTCAGTGTGTCTACATGTGATGGGATAGTTGATGCCTGATGTATGTTTTACAGATTCTTTGTACTCCTGATTTTATTACTTTTTTCATTCCGTTCACAGATTGTGTTTGAATTTGAAAAATTTAACAGAAACAAGCTGTTCTCATTAATGCAAAAGTTGTTGCTAAAGAACTATGGCTGCACGATATATTGCAATGAAAGAAAGACATGATTTTGGGCTTTCTGATATGCAGAGTAACTCATTATGTTCAAATTTTTGTTCTGGAAAGATCTATGAAAAAGAAATAGGAAAACATTTTGAACAGTTTTTGCAATCACTCATTGCCTGACAGGTGTTACCATTAATCATGCCTCATTCTTTATTACAAATGTTTGATTTTCAAATGCTTCCTCTATCAGCCCATTAATGCATGCTTTTGTAAATCTAAGTTGTTGTGCTGTTTAGTATAGCAAAGCTCAAAATTATAAACTGTAGGTTGGCGGGTGCTCTGGTGTGGTTTGCTTCTTCTTTCCTATCAAACGTCTATCGTCTTTATCTCCCCTCCTTCTTTTTTGTGTTTGTTACTCTCTTGTAACACCTCTAATCTTCGGCGCTTATATGACCTTATTGTGTTGCAAGTGCCGTAAAACACTTACTAAAACAATAAAACAAATTTGTTCCTAGGAGGTGGATGATGCTGATGACAGTGATACCATTAGTTTAGGCGCTTACTCCTTACAGGTGAGTCCAACATAACGCCTCACACAGTGTCTCAGTTGGGAAGTTGAGTTGTCTCTCAGCACAGTTTGGTCCTGACAGTCATGGTCGGAGCAGGCGGCCTACTTAATCGTCCAAATTGTGTTTGTGAGGGTGTAAAACGCCTACAAATACAATGTATATATACAATTACTGTTTGAAGTGTTCCAAAGGAAACCTTTTCAGGTTGTTGTTTTTTACACTGAAGAGTAGGCTATATTTAGCACTTGCAAAGATGAGGAAGATTCAATTGCAATTAGTAGATATAATTTTAAGACTTTTTTTCCTTTCGCAAGTAACTTGCCCTTGAAGCAGTTCTCTTGAAAGCAAAAGATCGTTAAGAAAATAAAGAGCTATGGCCAAGTGAAATTGATATTAAAAGAAAATATAATTTTGTTTAATGCTGGCAAGTTTGGTTCTGATGTCCATAGTTATCTGTTTTAGAAATCTAAAATACAAACTATATTTAAACTTTAAGGTCTATGAAGATTTAGATGGCACCAAGAAAATTCCTTAGTGCTTTACATCATGTTTTCTAGTGCTTTCTTTCTTTGTGCCATCCACCCCTGAATTTTTAGAAAAAATTGTACTCGTTCTTTTAGATTTAGTATGTTTTAGTGATTCAGGCCTCTCTGTTTTACGCTCGTTCCTTTCACTTGGTTATGAAGCTCTGAGCTTCAGTTCAGTCGTAGGAATTTCACTTCTTACTTTCCTGTATCTTTTTGTTGTAGGCTATGGGACAAGTTTTAATGCTGTTAGCCACAGCTTGGTTGTATTATTATTGTTACAGTTTGACGATTAGGAAGTTCATTTCATGTAATAATGTAAAGAACATTTTTCTTCTAATTGAGCTGTGCATTTTTGGGGGTCTTTTTTAGTTTGTCAGGGTCATATGAAAACTGACGGTGTAAAATTCATTGAGGTCAACATGGAATTTTGTGGTACTAATAGAAAAACCTTAGATGGCGTGTTATAAAATGAGAGATATATCGGTGGAGAGTTTTTATTTATTTGAAAATGTTGTCACCCATTTCAAAATGTTCAGCTTAATATCAAGCAACCTAATAACAGCACAATTAACAATTATATTAGCAGCCATCTTGAGGCTTCTGAAAATCTTGATATTTCCACACAAAAAAAAATTAGGAGTCATCTTGAGGCTTCTGAAAATCTTGATAGATCTATTTCCAGAAAGAAAAAAAATAAATTTTTTTTAATGCTGCGAATTTGGTCCCATAGCCTATTTAGGAATATGTTCCGAGCGCCCCTCCCCCTCTGACCTGCTGCCCTAAATCTAGTCTGAGCCTGACCCTCCCCAGGACGGAGGCTCCCCCAGCTCCTCCACCCTGGGCTCCCCCCAGCGACTGGCCCTGCCCCCAGTGTTCGCCACGCCGTCTGCCCCCAAGCCCAGCAAGCTGTCCCTCAAGTGGGCCACCATCGGCCCCAGCTCCGCCAGCAAGTCCAAGTATTTGTGATAACTCGGGAGCGCACCGCTTCTCATGAGGTGTCACATCGGGGGTTAGCATCGGTTAATTTTTAAAGGAAAGGGAAGATTTGTGAAGCGTGCTGACAAAATGGGTTACTTCTGGGATTTGAGCCCTATGGCAATGGATACATCACACTTACAGGTGAAGTTTTTATAGTTTATAAGTATGAAATAATAAAAGGTATGTTATACTTAAAGAATATGGCATCAATAGAAAATTTATAAATTTGACCCTAGTGTCGATTTTTTGACAATAGCTTCACTTATGGATTGCAAGAAGTAACTCATTTTGTCAGCATGCTTCACATTCGTTATTTTCTTCTTTCATGCAGTTCATTTCTTGGCCTAATGTGGGTTCGTTTTCACTCCAGCCGGTCATTTACTTCAACAGAATGACGGTGGTTCATTTCTGTTCTTAAAGAAAATATGTCAGCATCTCTTGTCTCGGAGGCAATGCATGATTTCAGATTGTGGGGGGGGGGGTTCATTTCTGTTCTTAAAGAAAATGTATCAGCATCTCTTGTCTCAGAGGCAATGCATGATTTCAGTCTGTCGGGGGGGGGGGGGTCTGTAAAAAATGAATGTACAGGGACCAGTGTGCTGAAAGTCCTCCACCCTAGGCTCCCCCCAGCGACTGGCCCTGCCCCCAGTTTTTTTTCTATCCCTCAGCTCCGCCAGCAAGTCCAAGTATTTGTGATAACTCGGGAGCGCACCGCTTCTCATGAGGTGTCTCATCGGGGGTTAGCGTCGGATGATTTTTAAAGGAAAGGGAAGATTTGTTATTTTCTTCTTTCATGCAGTTCATTTCTTGGCATAATGTGGGTTCGTTTTCATTCCAGCCACGTCATATTCATCAGCAGAATAAGGACGGTTCATTTCTGTTCTTAAAGAAAATATTTCAGCATCACATCTCTTGTCTGAGAGACAATGCGTGATTTTTTTTGGGGGGGAGGGGGGTCAGAAAAAGTGAACATGCAGGGACCAGCATACTGAATGTCATTGTTGGTACTGAATGTTTAAAGGCTAAACCGTTGCTGTTATGCTGAAGACTGTTCACTCAGTCCCTTTACTTTCCCGATCCAGCGGCTACTTTGTTAGAACCATGTTTGCGGTTTCTGAGGGAGTCTGGCTCTTCCTTTTGTGTCAAAATCAGGATATGTCGTTTTATTGAAAATGGCCTTTGATTTATTCACTTGTCCGATCCGTGTAGAACCAAAGAACTCTTGTTTGTATGTTTCTTTAGAGTAACCTAGCACAGTCACACATGTTTTATTTATACAACTTTATTCCATTTTGGTTGATTTGTGGGGAGGAGTTTTTTGTTCGCAATACATCTTAGACCAATATTATTGTCCTTTATTTGGATTTGACAAAGATGAAGAAAATAAATGGCACAAATGTGAAGATTAAAAAAAGGCTTGTATAAAATAGAACAAAGAGATTCCTTTTTTAGTAATATAGTAACGGCAGTTCTCATTCTTTGTAAATTATTGGGTGTGTAGATAGTATGTGTGTGTGTGTATACTGTCTCAGGTTGTGAGGGTATTTTTTTTTTCTCTTCTGCATTTGTTAATGTGAGTTTTTCTGCTCATGTCAGATCAAATTTGAGATTGCCTGTCCTCTTGCAAAATTAGAGGTACATTCAACTTATGATTTTTAGCTATGTGCAGTTGTTGTTTTTTTGGTTGGTTTTTTATTTAATGCGTTTACCTGAAGTATAGATAAATAATTTTTGCTATGCAGAAACCTATTGTGTGGTGAAGGCATTCCAGTAGGTCATCACTTTTTAACACTTTCCACCTACACAGCGCGCAGAGCACACAACACTTGTCCCCACAGACCAGGATGCAGATACAGTACCTCAGTACCTGTACTATACCTGTATCTCGGCAAAAATACCCCAACCATTATTAAAATCTCAGCATACTGAGAAAATTTTAAATGATGATGGCCTATTCATCAAAAAAGGAATTAATATCAGAAATGAAAACATTAGATCTAGCTCATTTATCACCCGAATTCTCATCATGACGTAAGAGTAAAACAGCACTCATGCTGGGTCTACTCGACATTTAAAAAAAATTTACTCAACTTGTTGTATACAAACTGGTTTTCGACCTCAAACGCCACACAAACCATTCAGAAAGGAAATGAATTTAACAAGTGCGCATGTCTAAAAGGTGATAATTGCTGCAACGTTTTTGTTCCGAAATATATCACACAGTCGCCGATAAGCGTCCCTTGGGGACAAAGTGTTAAAGTTTTGGAAGTTAACTACCATACTTCTGAAGAGGAAGTAAATAATTGCCAAGTCTCAACATACTCATACCATTTAGCACAAGACCAGCTTTCTTAAGATTTCTGAAGTCTTACTTGCAATTTTCACATGTATGTGAATGCTCTATTAGTTGGCCCAAAGCAAAGTGATCGGTTATTTGACCAACTATTTAGACCCTTGCAAATTTGTAACTATTTAAGTGTAGCTCTGTATAGTGCTTCATTTCAGTGTGTCTGTTCTTTGTATAGAAAGAGCATCCTGCTATGTGTAGTTTGTTCATACTCAGAATTCAGAGGATGGAGCTGGTAAGATATAGTAGGTGTTCTGCTTTCTTCAATTCTCCAGTGTTGGTTGTAGTGCTGATATTTGCTCTCGTTTTGAGCTTGTCACCCATCAAAAAACTCCACAATGTCGTCAGTCCATATGTGCTGAATTCTTTGTTCTGATATGACCAATTCTTATGCAGTTGCGAGCATCGTAAAACTCTTAATAAGCTTACTGACATGACCAATTGCTGCCTTTACTTATGTAACATTGCTTTATGTACATACCAGTATAGGCTACCAAGTCTGTTCTTTGATACTGCTCCGTGTTGTCTGTAGACTCAAATGGCAATTCAGATTGGATGAAAGGCCTCAGAGAGTATAAGGTTGTGATTTCTTATGGAGTGTTGATCTTCCTTTTGTGCAAAAACCAGGTTGTATCTATTGTTCAAAATGCTGTTTGATTTGTTCTCATTTGTAGAGTTTTCAAACCTGCTGTTTCTTATCCTGTGGATGGGATTTTTTTTTTTTTTCCCCCTTTGTCTCATCGTGTCAATAATCTGAGTCAACGTTTTTGTGAAAATTTGCCTCTTCCTGGGTCTTGCTCATCTCTTTTTTTTTAAAGCCCCTCACTTGTCTCAACCTTTTTATTTCAGTGCTTCAGATGTTTCACGGGCACCATAATGTGGTCTGCTCTTGCTTCTATTCTGTACAGTACTTCTGTTGTCGTAAGTCACTATTGTACTTATTAAGTGACTATTGAACTTGTGTCTTTTCCGTTCTCCAGCTTGACATCGATGGCAGGCTTTAGTTTAAAGGTTGCAATAAAGACTATCTTTTTGGCTTTTGTCATTATGGTTATGAGTGTGCAAGGATATTTTTGTGCGAATGTCCATTTCTTGCAAGTGTTGTCTGTATGGACTGTGGAGGGTTGGTGTGGGCTCTGGTGTGGTTTGCTTCTGTCCTATCAAACATCTGTCGTCCCCATCTCCCCTTCTTCTTTTTTATACATTTTGTTACTCTCTTGTTACACCTCTAATCTTCTGGCGCTCATATGACCTCATGCAGTTGCGAGCGCCGAAAAACCTCTACTAAAACAAAACCATCTGTATGGACTCTGGTTTCTTATTCTCTGTTTAGCTTCCACAGTCTGACAAAAATGTAACTAAACTGTGCAATGATTATGTTAAATGAGAACATTTATGTCGTGAGGGTTATGACCTGTCCACTTGGTGATAATGGAATATAATATGGCTGTTTTTTGCTTTTTTGTATCTTTTCAGGCATTATCATTAATGCTAGACTCTACATATTTATCATGTTGCAACAATAATCGAGTTGGCTGGCGCTCTGATTTAGTTTGCTTCTTCATTACCATCAAACGTCTATCATCCTTATCTCTCCTCCTTCTTTTATGCGTTTGTTACTCTTTTGTAACACTTCTAATCTGTGGCACTTATGACATTATTATTATGTTGCAAGTGCCGTAAAACACTAACCAAAACAAAAACAAAAAAAACTACGTAACATTTGAGTACTAGTCAGCTAGGTGCTGGTGTCTCTTTCTTTGACATCATACAAATATTTGGGAAGATGTGGGTTAAAGAAGGATGTTTTATTATGGTAAATTAATTGACTGGGCTTGCCGACTGCACATACGGGGGCTCTCGTGGTCTAGAAGTCATGGTGTTCACCTTTCATTCTAAGGTCCTGGGTTTGAATCCGGGTAGTGACGGGAACATTTTCTTCTCTAAAATTGTGTCCTTTCACCTCCTTTCCTGCTCTCTAGCAATGTTCTGTTGTCTGCTTTCGTCTCCACTTTCTGCTCCCACTTTCTTCCCCCATCCCCTCACCTCCTTTGCCCCCTCCTCTTGGCTTCTGACTCTTTCTGCAGCATTTCTACTGCTGCTCCTTGGCTCCTTCTTACTGCTGTCTTTCATCCACACCCCTGATCTTCTGGTACTGGTAGGAAAGATCTACACCTAGCTTTCTCTGACAAGGGCGAAAAATCTTAGAGGTCCCATGTGCAAGTTGACCTCGTTAAAAATCCCTTGGTGGTCCATCAATGATTTATTTATAGAGGCACCGGCCATCCATGTCCAGGTGGTCTGAAATCGAAAAGGGTAATCTTCGGCCACCACCCGGGCCTACCAACTTAAAAAGTTTAATGTACCCCGCACGCTCATAGGACCTTATGCAGTTGCAAGCGCCGCAAAACACTTACGGAAAAAAAAAAAAGACTGCATGTTCATACCATAGGACTTTAATAATCTCAGCCTTAGTTTATTTTCCGCCGTTGATTTTGAGGTCAAAAGAGTACATCCTATCTTTATTAACCCAATAATTTATAAGTGATTGCCTCCATTAATTTAAAGTGTTGTCTTTAGCAATGATTTTTTTTTTCAGTTTTTTTAAAACAAAAAGTGGAAATATAGGCCTACTTGCAAGGAAATTTCTGCTAATTTCTGAAGGCAAAGAAGGA